TTGGTGTTCTAAGTGAAAGTGGCCACATAACCTCATACCACATTGACTTGATTTTTCTCACAGCAGTAAAAACCACCATTAGTGAGAATGAAGGTGTGGATGAAGTTGAAAGATGGAAAACCATATTTAAATATGGGTTTTCATATTGTAAATGATTGGTGTTGTAGCAGCTCTGAATATAGAGTTCTATGATGTCCCTGGATATATGGTGCTATGAAATATAGAGTTCAATTTATGCATGCAGAAGTATTAAGAGATATAGAAGCAAGAATGATAGGCAATGTTTCTGCAGAGGGAACCCATGAGAAATAATGAGGTAGTACAAAAGTCTTCTCTGATAAAGGATATTTTATAAAACAATTAGTTAAAATAGTCTTCCTGTTGGGTGAAGTCACATTGGCGTACACATTAAGGACCTTTAACGTGTTGTGAGAAAAATTCAGAATCACTGCATTTCTTTGAGGGCAGGAGCATAATGATCAATGTTAATATAGGGGAGCTGGAAGAAAAAAAGAGTCAGAAAGATAAGTTAGTAGGCTCTTTAAGACATTCTCATTTGAAGTGATAGAAACATATACAAAAGCATATACAAAAATATAGACATCCAGAGCTTTGTAAGGTTTTGAACAACCAATAAAAAAATAAAATAAAATAAAATAAAATAAAATAAAATAAAAAACAAAACAAAATATAGACATCCTCCTTTGAATAATAGAACTATATACAAAAAAAGGCAGTTGGCAATAACATTCTGAAGGGAAAAAGTGTGTTAAAACTTACTACATTAAATAACAATCGACAATTGCTATACTATCATTGCATTTTAAGTAATTTCACATAGCTGTGCGTTAAATGAAAGAACATTTTAGTGATAAGTAATACAATATGTTTTTCAATGTTAATGTTAACTATGTAAGGATGACATTGAAATGTATCAGAGGAAATGTTACAGATTATTTTTCAAGTTCTGAGAAGAAACTGCTACTGCACACACAAATTGAACTTATAGACAGTCATAAAATTATGGTTTTCAAAATTAGAGATTCTTAAAGTTCTAATGAAATAAAAAATAAATTTAAAAAATGAAATATATAGAATAATGTCATATTTTATTTTCACCCTCAACCTCTATAATTCTTGCTCTTAACAGTGTCATAATCAGCAGCATCTATAGTCAGTGATATTAGTATTTCTATATTTTTCTTAATGGAAATTGCATATATTATTTTTATTGATTAAATTAGAAGGTATAACTTTGTTCATATCGAAATTTCAGAAAGAGTTTTTTCCACTATTATTTCAAAGTGAGTATTTATGTTTTATATTTTATTGTGTAACTCAGGTTGAAAATTTTAGGCGATTGTAAAATTGTGATACTACAAGTCTATTTTTCAGTCTACAACTTGCATCCATACAAGATTAATACTGAGCTTTGCCAACTATTTCATTCATCTAGGGAGAAGGTTTACTTTTCCTCTATAGACTGAATACATTCCACTGCTCCATAAACTTATCTTTTTTTCTCTCTTTAATGGCATAAATAATAGCTACTTGTTATTTTTCATAAAATAGCCTTTGTTTAAATTATATTTTAATGATATATGCTATAGGGCAACCAGATCAAACATTTTGGCCAAAATGCTTTAAGACAAAGCAAAGCAGTATTAACCAGCTTTCAGAAAAACAGTGTGGAGATTGTAACTAGCCAGTTCTTTAAAATATTTGATACAACAGTCACATAATAAAAATAATAATGATTTCACATATTTTTCATGGACAGCAAAGAGAAATTTTGAAATAAATACTGAATATTTTTGAATAAATATTTTTGAATAAATACTGAAATAAATAACAAACTGTGAAGGTGCATACTTTTTCTATATTATACTATAAACCAAATCAAACACCCAGAATACTTAATTTGAATGTATGAAATTCTTATCATGGGGCACAACTATTAGTTAGAAAAGATATAAATGACACATAATGACTGACTTTAACTCACTTTTACTCATACTAAGCAAAGTTAAATCATTATTTTAACATTTTAAAAACTACTACCTGTGATTAGCATTTGAATGCTATGAAGATTATTCAAATATAAGATCGTGGTTTAAATCTGTAATCAGTGTTTGATATTAACACTTTTTTTCTACTAGAAATTAAACCCAGGGCACTTTTCCTTTGAGGTTCATACCTAGCCTTTTTCGTTTTTACTTTGAGACAGGGTCTTGCTAAGTTGCTTAGGACATCACTAAACTGCTAAAGCTGGATTTGATTTAACTTGGATTCTCTTGTCTCAGCCTCACGTGTTTCTGTGATTGCAGGTGTATGCCACAAAGCTTGGCTGATACATTTTCTTGATGTTAAAGATAATTTAAGTTTAAATTTTTCATTGAATTAATTCTTTCACACTTTGAAAATAAAAATCTTTCTTTGCCTATTTTCTAGTAGATGAAAGTGAATACAATCCCCTGATATTTGTCTATTCCATTGGTCATTTTCCTTCTTCAAGTTTCTTCATCAAAACATACGTGTATCTGACTAAATATAATCTCCCAACATATCATGGTGTTAGGGTTCTCCAAAGAGTGGAATCTAGTTAAAGACAATGGCCTCTTATTTCTAGAGTAATGACAGTATTCCTGCTGTAGGTGGGAATATCCAAATCAAATCAGGAAAGTTTCATGAATTGGTGCATTGTCAGATTCCCTCTTTCCAGTCCTCTATGCCAAAGAATTTTTAATGTGTTATAGGGTAAACTAGATTATCATATAATCTTCTCAACATCACTTAAGAAATAAATTAGAAGTTATGAGGCCTTCAGTAATTGCCTTTTGAAAATCAGTATTCTAAATCTTTGGAAATTAAAAATCTACTATCTCAAATTATTCCAGTTTAAACAATATAAATCTGTTTATTCTTTTTGCAATTATTCTTTAAAACATCTTTCCTGAGAATTTAAAATCAGAATATATTAGTTTACTGAGCTAGATGAAGGCATACATGTAGGTAAATTACATGGGGAAAGAAGAAAAATTCATAACATTTTAAATTAACATTCTAATTCACTGTACCCCAACTTGCTTCTTTGTCATCCACCAAGGAGAATAGTTTTCAAATTCCTTAAACATATGAATAATATTTTGAATTTATTTGTCTTATTTTATTTTCTACTAAATATTAAGAAATACTGAATAAGTATTTAGAAATATTTCTAATTGTATTTATATGGTATAGGCCCAGATTTTACCATAAACTTTAATTTAAACCTAATTTCACTAATATATTCAATATTCAAAATATATTTATTAAAAGATTTGCATTCTTGTGTATATCACAGTCAACTATAAAATACAGCCCAAATAAATAAAAAAATCCTATCAAGAGTTATATAAAGTGGACATCAAGAGATATCAAGAGAACTATAATTATTTTTTAATTTTTAACTATAATAATTTTATTTTTAATATTTTAATATTTTAATATTTTTTATTTTTAACTATAATAATTTTTAATAATTATAATTATTTACTGTTGTGTGCTCAGCACCTAACAGCATCTGCCATAGAATAATTTTTTTTCCTTAAAAATGCACTTATCATTTTATGGGTAGGTACTATAAAGGAGCAACTTTATTACCTGTGAATCAGTTAAGCATGTATGTCATAAATAAAGTATAACTTGTTATAAATAAACTTTCATTATTTAAAAAAGATTTTCCATTTTTTTAAAACTAAAATGTTTAGCCTTATTAGACCAGAGACCCTGTGCTTACTAGAAGAAAAAGTAGGCCCAAATCTCTATCATGTCAGATTGGGAATCAAATTCCTCAAGAAGACTCCTAAAGCATATGTAATAAAATAAAGAATCAATAAGTGGGATTTTATCAAACTAAAAACGTCTTCACAGCACAGGAAAATATCTAGAACATACAGAGCCTACAGAATGGGAGAAAATCTTTGCCACCTGAACCCCAGATACATCATGAATCTCCAGGACATATAAAGAATTTTTTAAAAATGGGGTCAAATAAACAAATGATGCAATCAATAATAAATGGGCAAAGGAACTTCACATTTCTTTTCTGTGAACAAGCACTTCACAGAAAATAAATATAATATGAATGGTCAACAAATATATGAAAAAATATTCAACATCACTAGCAATTGCAGAAATGTGAATTAACACTACACTGAGATTTTATCTTACTCCAGTCAGAATGACAATTATCAAGAATACAAGTAACAATAAATGCTGACAAGGATGTTGGGGAAAAGATATGCTCATATATTTCTGGTGGGACTGCAAATTGGTGCAACCACTCTGTAAAAAACAGTATGAAGATTTCTCAGAAAACTTGGAATGGAAGGAGCATTTGAACCAGTTATCCCACTCCTCAGCATACTACAAGTCACACAGCCACTTCAATGTTCATAGCAGCTCAATTCATAATTGCTAAGCTATGGAACCAACCTAGGTGCCTTTCAAGAGATGAATGCATAAAGAAAATGTGTAATGTATACATATTGGAATATTACCCAGCCATAAAGAATAGAGAAATTATGGCATTTGCCTGTTAATGAATCAAACTGGAGATTATCATGCTAAGTGAAATAAACCAATCCCCCCACAAAACAAAGGCTGATTGTTCTCTCTGATATGTGGATCCTGACTCATAATACTTGGAGGCTTCACAAGATTTGACCGAGGACAATGGTGAGTATGTATCTGAGGATGGGAATGGGAAAGATAATAAAATGTATTGGACATAATTTCCTATGTTCATATATAAATACACAACTAGTGTAATTCCATATCATGTACAACCACAGAATGGGAAGTTATACTCCATGTATGTATGATATGTTAAAATACATTCTCCTTTCAAGTATAAATATTAAAAAGAAAAAAAGAGAGAGAGATTGGACTAAATACATGCCTAAATACATGACTATATTATTTAGTCTTATAAATAATAAAATGATAAATTATATATATATATGTACATAGTATAATATAATTTCATAATCCTACTCAAATTTTTAGATCTCTTAGTGTTGAATACAATCTATTAAGGTGACACACATCCAGAGAGCAATGGACAAGCCTCACCTTAGGAAAAATACCATTGGGATCATGGTATTCTCCTCTACCAGGTAAGTATAGATAATCTATATTAATGTCTGCATTAAAATAATCTATTCCCTTATAATAAACTATATATTCAGCATTTTTCCACTTTTCCAGTGCTTTAATAATGTGCTCTTTACGCAATGCTGACAGTGTCTTCCTTCATCACAGGAAATAAGTTTTAAACTTCAAGATCGTCATAGAATATGTTAAAAAAAAACCCTGTCATTACCTACCATTATCCTCAACTTTTCCTACTCTGAGCCATAGAATACTCTACATTACTATAGTTAGAGGCATTTTTCTCTTCTTATCTAGATATAACCAGTGCAAAAGCTGAGGAGATATTGACTTGGACAAACATTAAAGGAAGAATGATTACCTGTAGATAACCAGATAGTGATTTCTTTATATTGCATTCAAGAAAAAGTCAGACTATAAGTTATATTAGCATTATTTGGTGTATTATGAACTAGCAAATACCTTGACTTCTGCAAAAAATTGGTAATTTGTGCAGTTGGTAAAATTGAATGCCCAAGTTGCTGAAGTTTTATATCTAGGAGTTCAGATGGCAGTTTTAATTTGAAAATATTCATAAGGGATAATTTCAAGTGTTTTATATTTAATATTTATATAAATTTCACTTACACACATATTAATTTTATTTTTATATTGTAATCTGTTTCCTATACATAATATTCTGAAATAAGTAAAACTAAATGCTTTTACTAGTTTATGTATTTAACTTGGAGAGATATGGCAGCACTAGGATATATGAATATTAAGATAAGTTTTTTTGTTAGGAATGGTGGTGCATGCCTGTAATCTCAGAGGTTCTGAAGACTGAGGAGGATCACAAATTCAAAACCAGGCTCAGAAACTTAGCAAAGCTCTTAGAAACCCTAGGTTCAATTCTTTGTACCCTCCCTCAAAAAAAAGAAGAAGAAGAAAAAGAAGAAGAAGAAAAAGAAGAAGAAGAAAGAAAGAAAAATGGATTAGTTCTCTGTATTTGGATTTATTAGAAAGTTTTTGCACTCTTACATAGATATTTATATCACTTATAAAAAGCTACCACAGACATATGAGTTATACACATACACATATATTAAAATAGCAATTATTTTAGAGCTAGTTTAATTTTAATTACAGAAAATGTGCTGAATAATGAATTAATATTTTGCCATCTCATGTTTGGTTAAATGTTTTCTAGTGACATCAACTATATTCTTCTCTTTATTTGGGTCTTTTCCTAGGAATCAGTGTTTTTAATTTTATCTCTAAGGACATATAAAAATGCCACAGATATTAAGAGACACTATATAATTAGTGGATCCTCAGTACACTAGATTTAATATATGAGTATTCAAACAATGGGGTCATAATGGAGATGGAGATCCAAAGGTGATTTCGGGAATGATCTTTCCTACTTTGAAAGCTCATTTCTCAAATTTTCACATTATCATGGAGATATTTTCCAATTGAATCCAGCTATATGTATATATTCATAGATGAATAGATAAGTTGTGTGTGTGTGTGTGTGTGTGTGTGTGTAATATAAAAAATGGAAGTTGACATCCACTGAGGTACATTTTTAGCAGCACAGAACACAGATGATTGACAGAACAAAGCATATGGAAACGGGGAAGAATCTAACCCACATTTAGATCTAAGAAAAAAATATTTGCCTGAAGGGAAAATATTAATTAGTTTGTCTACATGCAAGATAAAAGTCTGGAAGACATATCCATCAAAAGGCAGTGGAATAAACAGCAAAATGGAAATTATTTGTAAATTGACAGTAAACTTGGCAAACATTGAGGGGGTAAACAAGTTATTTGGCATGCAAAGCATTTCGAAATCACAGCCTCTGTCAGGAGGCATCTGTGCATAGATTCACTTGTTTGACAGAAATTAACATTTTGCAGAAATCTTTGCTGCATGCTAAAGATTTTTTCACCTTCTTTAATTATTTTAATTGTTGCTTTAGAATGTTCCATATAAATACTCAAAAGATGCAAAAATCCACAAAGCCCAATCCAATTTCATCAATAAATGACTATTGCATTCTAGAATTGATTAAAATACATAACAAGAGGTGAAATATTTAATTAATGCATCTGGAATATTTTTCTTGAATTAAATATAGGCTGACATAAATGCAGTAAAGATACTCATTGTACTGGGAAAGGTAAAATTACATTTGAAGAAAAGGAATATACCTCACCTTAATTTTATTGTCTTTTAAAATAATTGAAAATCATCTTAGACTCTGAAAACCTATGGAGTGAAATGTTTTTCACAATCTTTAATTTCTGAAAAGATAGTTCATTATTAATGTAAATTTAAAAATTAAACATAATGAAAATAATATTATCACAGAGATTTAAAAATCTTATTTCTGGCATGAGCTAGCTGTCAGTTCACTTCTCTGACTTCAGTATCCTCACCAATGAGGAGAAAGAGATAGTGTCACTATTTTTTGAACTCTTTTATCTAAGCAATTTAGAAGTTGAAGGTTATATGTAAGAACAAATTCTCAAACTAGACTGTTTTGACTCAAACAGAAATGCTTAATAAAAAATAGTCTTGATTTATTTTCTAGTTTTATCTAATGTTTTTGAAAGAGACTCATTTGTAAGCATAAGTCCTAAATTTTTATCAAAATCATAAAATCTTTAAGCAGGAAATTATATTTCCCATCTTTTTAATGAGAACGAAACTGAAGTCCACATAGAGTAGTAGATTTGAACCTAAAAGTGGTATTTAAATTAATTCATTATTATGTTCCATGTCCTTTATTATGTATTTCACTTTTATTATCACATTTAATTATTAAAACAACAGATAATGTGGGGTGAGCTATGTAGTAGAATGGAAATTTAAATCCATGATTTCAGATGAGTATTTATATACCACAACATTCAAAGGTTAATGTAACAGATGCATGTTTAAGATATACATTAAGGGACTCTGATGTACTGTCATTCAGTCACTAGTTTCATTCCAATATTCTAACTGCTCAAAATATTCTCCTAGGAATGCCATTGGTAGACCCCAAAAATAGGCTTAACAGAGTAACCTCAAAATCCTTTTCAATAATGCAGATTTCACTTATCAGCTGCAAAATCAATTGGTTTTCATAAAGCTAGATGTCGTCTATTGTAAATACTCTACATTATTCTACACTATCTTTTATACTAAGTTTTTTTTTTCCTTAGGACATATTACCATTATAGAAAATAATATACTCCATGAAGTTTGCAGAGGCAGTTCAGCATAATAATGAAAAAGGGAGACACTGGCTTTAGGATATCTTGTTAGCAGGATTTTCAATTCCAATTATACAAGTTAGTGTACGTGATTAAATTTTCCTAAAACTTATTTTCAGCACTAATGGTATTATCTTCAATAGTTGTATTTTTTGATGGTAATTTGAATTAATGCCTTTAGTTACCTAACACATATTAATAGCATGATAGATTCTAGCCGTTACTTATATGGTAGGAATGTGGATTTATATATGCGTTTGTATGCATATGCATGTGTTAGTGTTTTTCATAACTTTCTTTGCTCTTTAAAATAAGAAGTTGAGAAAAATGCTGATCTTTGTGAAGTTTTATAGTTGTTGTTGCTCTTTTAAAATTGAAACATAATAGCTGTATATGTTTATGGAGTACAATGTAGTATTTTGGTACAAATATACATTGTCTAATTCTTAAATTAGGGTCATTAATGTACATATTCATCACTTCAAGCATTTACAATTTCTTTGTGATAAGAACATTCAAAATTCTCTTTTCTAGTTATTTTGAAATATATAAGACTTTTTGTTAGCTATATTACCTTACTTTGTAATAGAATAACAAAACTCATTTCTCCTATCTTATTGTATCTTTGTACCCTTTCCACCTTTCTCCATCCCTCCCTCTTCCCTATCCTCAAATTTTCAACTGTACTATTATGTACTTATTTTACTAGTTCATGAAATTAGGACGTTAAAAAGTCTAGTTATCAACTGACTAGCTTTTCACCTCAAAGTGTTTTATTTTAGCCTCTATAATGAGTTAATTTAAGTACCACTAAAGAGATAAGGGGAGATACAAAATGGCAGACTAGAAGGAGGCTGCATACTTTGTTGTTCCATGACTGAGGATTCAAATAGAGGAAATACTGATTCTCTGTGATACAGCTTTCCTTGCCCACCAATCCCCTGCTCTTTGCCCACCTTTTTGTCCACAATCACCCTTTGCCAGTATATTGCCTACCATTCGTGTGTAGATCACGCACTGACTGCCACTGACAACCTGCCAGTTGCCAGTTTGCCTGCCTTTTACATAACCATTGCCCAACACCTGACATCATATCATCCAAGCACCTTGGGACTGCAGCAAACCTGAGGAATCTGAAGCCCAGGTCCAACAGATTGCAGGTAGGTCTGCATGGGTCAGTACAGGCTGGACAAGTGTTGGATATGAAAAATGAAAAACCCCAAAGTAGTGCAACCTGGGAAAAGGGAGTGAAAAAGAAAGCCATACATTGATAGCCCCAAAATAAATCCTTTCCAGTTGCTGGCCACAGGTGGGGTGAAGGTGTCCATCAAACCTAGAATTATAGTCACTGGGAAGCATTAATGTCCCCCAAAATAAATCATTTCCAGGTGCTGGCCACAGACCCTCAACCCCAAACCCCCAAACTGACACATTCATTAATCAGTAAAACTGACCCCAAATTCCTGAGTACTCAAATTGACATGCTCACTAAATGACCCCTCAGTATAACCTATATAAGCCCAGACTCTTTCTTTGGCCAAGGGTTAATTTTTTTATAAAGAAAGTGGGTTCATACCCCATTTCTACATTCCTCATTCTGCATGAAACTCCAGTACTTAATAAAAAGCTGAGATAATCTGTGAAGTTTTCCTCCAGCCTGTTCCTTTTGTGCTAACAACAAGTCTGTGGAAAGCCAGTGATGGGAGCAGTTCCCCAGGGGAGCACAGGATGGAGAAACTGGAAAAAAAAACACAGGATTTTGTGA